CGGGCCGGCCCCAGTCCGCGGCGGCCCGCCGCCCGCCTCACTCGCAGGGCCCGGGATGAAATATTCAGGGACGTTTAGAGCAATTCCATGTCTCCCGCGGAGCTCGCTGATGAATATTTCAGGGGAACGGCCACCCAAAGGAGGCCAGGAGCCAGCTGAGCACTTTGCCGAACAGCCACCCCGTAACTCCGCTGGCCGCGGTGCACCCCGGCAGCGATGCTGCTGGGGGACAACCGGGGGCACCAGGCCAAGCCACCAGAGGTGCCTGGTGCAGCAGAGCTCTGGCTCGTCCCTGCTCCGGTCCCAAGGCAACAGCCACCGTCCTGCGCCGCAGGGTCCTCCCGGGCCGTGCTGCAGTGGCTGGAGTCACCAGAGCCACATAAGGAGACATACAGGGGGACATTAGCTGTCCCACGTTGCTTGGAAGCAAGGTGCAGGGGAAGACCAGACCTGCTGTGTGTTGCCCCCAAGACCCCCATTACTATTCACACAGTCTGATTTGAATGCACATCAATTAATTTTGCATGGGAAGCTTTGAAATCCCCCGGGCTCAGGGCATCCGCCAGCCGGGGTCATCACCCATCTCCAAACACTTCCTCCTGGACCTCATCCTGCCCATGTAGGGGGTGGCTTTCCCCCTGTTGGAGGACTCGTTCGCCATCCCAGGGCCACCAGTGTTTGTACCCGCAAAGCAAAGACTCTTGAGCTCAAGCTCAGGGGCTGGTCGGAGCCTGGATTTGGAGAACAGAGATGTTTTCCACCAGCAGATCTTCTCCACGGCTTGGTCCCCTCTGGGCGGCTCGGTCCTTCTGCTCTTACACTGTCATGCCACATTTTTGAGGTGGCTGGGAATAAGTGGGATCACTGCCCCGGTCTACGGGAGAGGATGGGTAGGCGCTGGGTAGGGAGGACACACACCCCGTCCCAGCAAACCCCGCGCTGAGCACCAGCCCGCGGCGATCCAGTCCTTTCTAGGCTGCAACGGGAGGAAGCTGATGGCAGAGACGGATGAAGGATGGGCTTTAGCATGAGGCCCGTAAACGTTTGCAGCCGTAAATTATAACAGAGCCGCCCAAGTCTGCCGTGCTCCCCAATCCCCTAAGCCGCAGCCCCGA